ATTCATACAGTTATATAAACATAGCGATCGCCATTAGGTGGGTTGAGTCTAAATTTACCTTCCCTCAAACCTTTAAAAAATACTTTGTATGACGCAGTTTCCGTGGATCGTGCGAAGTTAGACGATCAAGTTGAAATGGGCCCTAATATTTTACTACACAACGGCTATTCGCAAACGCCGGTGAGACAAATTCGAAATAAAGTCACATTGGAAAGGGAACTATTGTAAATCGATGCAGGTTTCATTCAACTACAGACGAGACAGGTCAATGCAAATTAAACGAAGTCAACTCTGACCTCTGGAAATATCTCATTAATAGAGTTCCTTAGTACCAGAGGTCGCCGATCATGACCATACAACATAGTTTGTGACATCGCTACCGGTGCATGCTAGCTGACAAGGGGGTTTCCGATTAAGGTAACCAAGATGGCACCGCAGAGTGCATGATTTTTCTGTGGTGTTTAAAAACAGCATCTCATTGCCAATTTTTCGGTAATTTCCAGGTTTTTTTTTTTTATTTTTAATTAACCAAGCATTTTATGTTTGTGTATTTTAACACTGAAAAGTTAGCGATGACATGTTTACTTCAGTGTTAAAATGCCATTGGAGTAAAAATTTGTGGAAACATTTTTTAGTTTCGCTCACAATGCAAAAAAGCTTGAAATCTCTGCACCAAGAAAACAAAAGAAATTGTGGCCTTGTTTTGCAAAAAAATTTAATCGCCCTATCGACGCTCCATCCTACATGAAAATAAATGAAAAACCAATTTATTTAAGGGTGAAAAAGTTTACTTATCAGTTACAAGTGTATGTTTTGTTTCATTCCGCTTGCATGCTGGAAGCGTCTACATCTTGTCTGTTTTTTGTAGTTTGCTAGTTGATCGCGCTTGAGGTAAGTAAACAGAGAGCCGGGACAGGAAGTCGCACACCGGCTGCTCCGTAACTGGGGCCAGCAATCATTTGCATATAACATCAACAGTGACTTGTCAATCAAAGAGCAACGCAAACAAACTTTCGGGACTTTTAATCACATACGCGTGCCTCGGTTTCCTATATTTTAAAATTGATTTTTGAGTATGTTCCATATTGAAATGGTGCTACTAGGTAATGAATAAACTTACCTCATCCTTGCTAAGAGTGACTTTAAACAAACCGCTTGTTTTGGAATATTTGACCTGACCCATGTCATCATATGATACAACAGATACCCTGTAGTAAACAAATGATCGAAAGACTCCCATTATGAACAATGTTGGTAGTTTATTTATCCCTGATAGATTGGTTAATTGGACACAATTACAATGAGTGTTTAATTTGAATCAACTTTGGTGGAAATCAGTATTATAAGTAGTATATTCTAATATATATATACAAGTCAATTATTCATCATTAAGGTTTAATAATTCAAAAAGCATAATGCAGTTGTAAAATTATTTATATTTGGTCTGATATTCACTAAAATAAACATGTGAACTTTTTAGTAGAAAAATTAAGAACTGACACTAGAGGGCGTAATAAACAAGCAGCCTGTCGGCTGAGATAGCTCCGCTGTTAGCAATGCACATGGCAATTAAAGAACAGAAGATATCATTAGAAAATGAACAAATCTGAGAGAGGACCACATGTAGTACACCTATATATGTAATATCAAAACAATTGGACTTGCGGTTTTCAACAAGAAGTCTAAAATATCACTTTTTACCAAAAATGCCAAAAATATTCACCAAAATTAGAGAATTAAAGATATCATTACAAAATAAACAAATCTGAGAGAGGTCTACCCAAGGTACATATACACCAAGTATCAAAGCATTCAGGCTTATAGTTTTTAAGAAGAAGTCAAAAAAGTAAAACATTGACACGAACGACGACGGACAATCACTCATATGATAAGCTCCGCTCGACAAAGTCGACAGCAGAGCTAACAATGCAAGATCATAACCTGCAAAAAGCTCAGACTGTTTACATTTACAAAAGAGTACTCTTACCTGAAAACAACGTTTCTTTTTGGCACCAGACTAACTGAGTTCATTACTAAATGACTCACAGTATTACGTTTGCAGACTATTAACCTTAAAGAACAAACAGATAAAAGGATGTTATTTATTAAGAAGAAGAGCACTACATGCTGATTCATCTTTATATAATTACACAGTACTGCTGAGAGGTAGCTTTGTAAGAGAAACTTGATTTTAGGAATCTTGTATTTCAACACATGATTCCATACAGCAGTGTGTACAGGGTTAAAAAAATTGACAATTAGAAAATTGGAGTACGATAGAAAAGAAAGACAACCATTTTGAAAGAGAACATGACTGATGTATACCTTATGTGTGAAGGTTGGTTTGATCCTGTTTCAGTAAGACAGAAATGCTTGATCTCATCTAAACATGCACCAAAGTACCATTATGTTCAATGTATGTTTGAGATAAAGGTACAGAAGGATACACACACAGCAACATCATTTAGCTGAACAGTTCAGTTTTAATTGCAATTGGCAATCTTATTAAATAACCAGGTTTTGTGATGGTTGAAATATTGCCAATGGATATTTTTAGTGTGGAGATTCTTAATGATAGGGCCACCTAGTGGCAGACTGTAAATTCATGGTTATCACGTCTGTGTGTGTTTACATATTGTATTGACTGAATAAAAGGTCAAAATGTTCAATGCTTTCATTATTAATGGATATATGAACAGTTTTTGCAACCTTGGATACATAAATTGGAGATGTAATCAACACATACTTGTATATATGTGAAGGGAAGTAACACAACCACAAATGTTTTTAGTTTTTGGACAAAATATATGAAAAATATGTATGATCCAAATCGTTATTTACATTTTGTAAATGTGGCCATGTTTTATAGCACACATACGTTTTAATTATATGTGATATTAGTAGTAATTTAATTGATCAAAAATATTTATAAATTTTATAATGAAAACTAACTAGAATATTGCAAAGTATGAAGACAGTGTGGTGAATATTTCAACCAATGCATAGCAGAGATCAATGCAATCCTGTACTGCCTGAGTGCATACTTTGCGGTATTCTTGTGATAACCTTATTTTTGTACATATTTGCCCACGAAATAGCCAGTGAAAAGCATTTTACAAGATTTGTGTGCATTATTGTTTGCATTTAGTGAAGTGATTCTATCTCCATCCAACTATATCTATTGTTTGTATGTATTGGGATATATTGTAAATATTTACCTGTTTGAGAACATGATGAGTAGATCTAAACCATA